CCATACTACAGTGTATTCCCATCCCCTGCTGTGCAGCTCCCATGCAGGCTGTTATGGTTATCCATACTACATTCCATTACCATCCCCTGCTGTGCAGCTCCCATGCAGGCTGTTATGGTTATCCATACTACATTCCATTACCATCCCCTGCAGGCTGTTATGGTTATCCATACTACAGCCTATTCCCATCCCTTGCTACACAATTCTTTTGCAGGCTGTTATGGTTATTCATGCTAAAACACAGTTAAATCCTGGCAGTGTTTCCGTGCTGCATGATCCCCCCCAGCAGTGAGAGATCTCCCATCATCTCTTGAGGGCTGGCAAAGAACTTCAGCCATAGCACTCTCTCTCTCTCTCTCTCTCTCGATTGGCCCTCGGCCTCACATCCTGAAAGCCGATAGGCATCTCTGCTTTTTTTTTTTTTCCCTTCTTCACATGCTAATCCACGCCAAAGTCACAGCACCTTCATCTTTACTGTGCACTGGCTCAGCGATGGACAGCTCAGGAAGACCTCCAGCTGCATCTTCAGCACGGGCTCCTTCACCAGCACGTCACAGAGACGGCAGAGTAACCCGGAGCTGCTGGGGGCAAAAAAAGCAGTTTAGAACTTAATGTGTCGTCTCTCAGGAACGTTTTATCCATCCGTCTTCCAGTACAGGGTCATAGGGGCCCTGGAACCCATCACAGGCAAAATATGAAAGCAGGCCACCACAGATCCTGACAGGATGCCAGTCCATCAAAGGGCTCACACACAAACACACACTGCAGGCAGCTTAGAGATGCCAAATCACCTCAGGGCATGACTTTAGACTGCGAGCGAAAACCCGCAAAGGGAGGACATGCTAACTCTACACACACCCGGAGTGGGGGTGGAATCTGAGCCAGTGTGTCAGCCACATTGTATCAATTAATAAGCAAATTGCATTTATTACAGATTTAATTAATGCTTATCATAATGTGGCTAATTAAAACGTTAACATTTAATGGTATAGCACAGCTACAACACAATGCATGAAGTAATTTTTAACTGTATACTGTAGTATTATACGCTGTTCTACACAAGCAGACTGATATATTCAGCTCTTTCCTGGGCTGCTCCATCAAAACTTACTGTCCAGCAGGATCTGCCTCCAACTGCTCACTGCCACACAGGTTACAGGTAGGCCAGGAATAGGCCGTATTCTCATCCACACCAACAATGACACCTGCAAATACAGACACCATATCCTGGTTAGACATTATTCCAGGTAGCACAGGGTGCAAGAGATGCACATAGACTGTACGGGATGTGCGATGGGATGTGCGATGGGATGTGCGATGGGATGTGCGATGGGATGTGCGATGGGATCCGAGAGACAGCAGCACTGCTGCATAAATAAGTTACAAGATAAGCTGCACTGCTGCTGCTTCTCTGGAGGTGCTGGGGGGCTGAATGACAACCTAAGCAGGGACCATCGTGCCTTAAAACCCCAAGGAGGCCTATGAACTCTGGAACGTTGTGCCTTTCAGAAAGACAATAGCTTTGTCTCCAGCGACCACAGTCAGGCTGCTCACGCAGCAACAGGGCGGGCCAACCTCA